TCCAGCAGAGGTCTGGTCTGGAACATCTTCTTACAGACGGGACACTGGCAGCTGCTGCTGCTGCTCCAGTGTTGRCTGATGCAGGTTTTACAGAAGTTGTGTCCACATGGTGTGCTGACCGGATCAGTGAACAGGTCCAGACAGATGGAGCACCGGAACTGATCCTCAGACCTCAGGTTGCTGCCAGCAGACATGTCTGAACTCTGAGGGTCAAAGAATCAACAACATTAAAGCTCTGAGTTTTGTTAAAGCTGCCTGTAGAAACTAAAAARAATCATCTGAACTCACCTGGATTAGAATCAGATGTCAGGAAAGAAAAGATGAATTCAGGTGTTTGTTTCAGCTGCAGCTCTGCTCCGACACACAAACACTTTACTTTCTTTTACATAACCTTGAACTCTGCCCACTTTTTGCTTTCATTTCCTAAATGTGACGTTAGAGCTTGTTTATCCAGTTTTGCTCCTCCTCTTTCTGCAGATATGTGTTCAGACTGACTCATAAAGATATGTAATGTTCAGAAAGCTTTGAGTGACTTTGTGTTTTATTCTCTGTTGTTTAGATCAGCTTCCTGGAGAGTTTACACTTCTTTATGACAAATTTACATCTGAGTGGTAACAAAAACAGGTTCATGCTGCTGTTCACCAAAGAATCCAAAACTCCACCAGCTGAGTCTTTTAATTCAGATAAATAAAGATTGAATCACTTCATTTAAGTCATTTTAAATAATGAACTGCAATAAAAAGATGAKTAAACTCTGACAGTTTTACAGAAATGGACATAAAATTTGGAGTGGTAGTAGCTCACGTATTTAACTGAACAAGATTCAACGTGAGCAAACATGTTAACCAACAGAGTCAGAGTCCAAATTTAAAAAGGTAAGTGATTTATTGTTCAGGGACGGGATCGGGATCTGAGAACAGGACGAGTGCAGAGGTGAATGTTTGATCTGATGTTCCAGAGGTATATTGCAAACGGGTATGTTTTCTTACAGGTGAAGGAGTGAGGTTAGGCGTGGATGAGTTGGTCCAAATCCAGAGGTGAGTATTTACAGGTGACAACTTCAACAAGTGAGCATTTACAAGTGAGAACTTCTTCTGGTGAGTATTTACAGGTAAGTAGATATTTACAAGTTTGGTGGAGGCAAAAGGCAGGCGCATGGAACTCAGGTGAGTGGCTYGTTACAAAAGGTCCTCAGGCAGGCTTGGAAAAGGTCAGTACTTCTTGGGACTCCGTGGTCTGGAAACAGGTAAGATAAATACTCAAAGGTTAAACAAACTGGTGATCAAAACAGGTTACAGACTAAGATCTTTACCAATGGAGTATTGATGCTTCAGTGAAGAACGCATCCTCAATGATGYCTTATGAAACCTGGGAGATAATGAGCCAATCCAACACAGGTGAGTCAATCAGCGCTGCCAGCCAGTAGAGAGGCAGGAGGTGAAAAACCTCCTAAATGCCTCAGAGTCATCTCTTATTAAAAGATGTGCCAACCTCTGCCAGGTTCAACCTTGTCAACGCAAAATCACTGGCAAACAAAACTTTCATCTTGAGGGATTTCTTCATGTCCCGTGGTCTGGATTTTCTCTGTGTAAAGGAGACATGGCTGAGACAGGTGAGTCCACCTCTCTTATTGAACTGTCACCACTGGATTGCTGCTTTTTTAATTCCCATCCTTCTTCTGGTCAAAGAGGAGGAATAGCAGTTGTTTTAAAAGTGAGTTTAAATGCAGACAGATCTGCCTCCAATCCTCCTTTACAAGCTTTGAACATTGTTCATTTGAAATTGGTCGCTCTCATGTTTGTGTCATCATCTTTGGGCCACCCAACCACAAAAATGACTTTACAAGTGACTTTTCAGAAATTTTGGCTGAACTCCGACCTAAATATGATCATGTTCTTATTCTCTGTAAGTGTAATATTCACACCTGTTGCCCAGAAGAGCTGATCTCCTGGAGCTTTTAAATGTTATTAACTTATTTAAGTTTGTGCAGTCTGTGTCTGGTCCCACTCATGAACTCGGACACACACTAGCCCTGGTCCTGTCACATGGTCTGGATGTCTCCGATTGGGACATATGTGATGCTGTTTTCTCAGATTATATGCTGATCCAGTTTAATATTTCCACACACTGTCCAGTTAAACTGCCCGCTCCTCCTCATCACTGTTGCATGTTTAACTTCTCTCCAATCCCGTTCTCATCTACTTTTCTTGGTCTCAGTGAGGATATCTCTAAAGACTCTCTTTGTTTAAATACAGACAAACTAGTTTCCAGCTTCTACTCTTGGTTTACAATCACTGGACATGATCACGCCTTTGAAGAGTTGGCGCACCAAAGCTGCACCCGAGTCATGGCTGAATGACATCACTTGTGCTGCCAGGTGTGAATGAAGAGGGGAGTGCCGATGGAAAAAGGATAGGCTGCATATTTCTTTTGGTATTCTCAAAGAAAACCTGTTCTATCAGAGGACTGTAAAACCTGAAGAACAAATACCTCTCAGGAATAATTGCTTTTAATTGTAACAACCCCAGTGTTCTGTTCAAACCATACATGCTGTTCTCAATGCTCCCAAGTTTGTTGGTTTTGATGTCTCCATTGAAACCTGTCAAAGTTTTCTCCACTTCTTTTTTTGTTTAATAAAATTGTATCAACTAGAGTTTGTACTTCTCAGCCTTCCTACGACCCATCTCTCTCTTTGCACTACTCATCTGTTTTTGATCAGTTTGAGCCGGTGACACTGTTCCACTCTGGAGTTGCCCATGCTGAGAGGTGCCGAGCAGAAGTGGGCATACTTATTGCCCCCCTTCTTGGTGCCTGTACGTTGGGGTTCACCCTGGTGAATGAGAGGGTAGCTTCCCTCCGCTTACGAGTGGGGGGACGGGTCCTGACTTTTGTTTGTGCCTATGAGCCTAACAGCAGTTCAGATTACCCACCATTTTTGGAGTCCTTGGAGGGCGTGCTGGAGAGCGCTCCTAACGGGGACTCCCTCGTTCTGCTGGGGGACTTCAATGCTCATGTGGGTAATGACAGTGAGACCTGCAGGGGCGTGGTTGGGAGGAACAATATTGCAATATTGCATGGACATTGGGGGCACTCCCCCTGGATTGGCAGACAGGGGTGGTGGTCCCCCTATTTAAAAAGGGGGACCGCAGAGTGTGTTCCAWCTATAGGGGKATCACACTTCTGAGCCTCCCTGGTAAGGTCTATTCAGGGGTTCTGGATAAGAGGGTCAGTTAGATAGTCAAATCTTGGATTCAGGAAGAGCAGTGTGTTTTTGTTCATGATCGTGGAACATCGGACCAGCTCTACACCCTCAGCAGGGTCCTGGAGGGTGCATGGGAGTTCAACCAGTCTACATGTGTTTTGTGGACTTGGAGAAGGCGTTGAACAGTGTCCCTAGGGGACTCCTGTGGGGGGTACTCTGGGAGTATAGGTTCCTTCACAGGGTGGCTGGGCTCTCCCTTAGAGATAGGGCGAGAAGCTCAGTCATCCAGGAGGGACTCGGAGTAGAGCCGCTGCTCCTCCACGTCCAGAGGAGCCAGTTGAGGTGGTTCATCTGGTTAGGATGCCTCCTGGACTCCTCCCTGGTGAGGTGTTCTGGACACGTCCCACTGGGAGGAGACCCAGAGGAAGACCCAGGACACGCTGGAGGGACTATGTTTCTCAGCTGGTCTGGGAACACCTTGGGATTCCCCCAGAGGAGCTGGTCCAAGTGGCTGGGGAGAGAGAGGTCTGGGTCTCTCTGCTTAGGATGCTGCCCCCGAGGCCTGACCCCAGCAAAGAGGAAGAAAACCGATGGACGGATGGAATGCTTGTTTTAAATGATCAGAACTCAAAGTACATCTATGTTTATAAAATAAATAAATACCAAATTAAAGATTAAGAACCTCTAAAAGAAGAAGTGACACTCAAATGTTTTTTATGTTCAATCTTGTTTTATAAGCTTAAAAAGCATAACAATGTTTGAATTCTGTGCTGTTTTATCGGTGCAGTTTGGGGTCAGATTTTTAAGGTGCTGAGATATGATAAGGTACAAAAATGTAAATTTAATTGAATCCAATCCATTATTCATGTCTGTAATTATACATTTAAATAATCAAACTATATTATTGTCACGTCTGGGACCCTGTACTGCTCATATATCTCATAAAGTTAAAGTCTCTCTGGTTTGGATTTGTTTGTCAGAAAAGGATTAATTTGTGGAAATAAAAAGGTGATTATTTCTCAGAAAACACTTTCCCGTTGCTTCTGTTTGAATGTTCTTATTGACATTCTCTCCACTGACTTGTCAGCTAAATAATGATATTAAAAACAATCAGAATGCAAGGAGGCACCAGCCTGTCAGTTAATATTTAATGAGCAATATGCAGTTTGCAAAGAGGAAAATGGGATTGCTGATGGAATTGTTTTCCACGCTTCTTCTTTTATTTTTTTAATTTCACAAAGGGCACAGGAAGCGGTTAGGAGATGGCTTCCCTCAGCTAAACCTGGATTTTGTAAATGAGAAAAGTTTGCTGTGAAAGTTGTTGTTTTCCAGCTGACTGAAGGGGTCAGAGGTCACCGCTCACACCTGAGCTGTCAGAGTCTCCAGCAGGTTTCCCGCCGCCCAGGAAAGCCACCCTGATGGAGAACTCCCTGACGTTAACAGGACTAATTGCTTCCCGACTGTTCGGCCTCGACGCTCGTTCAGGATTTGCTGCGGGTCCGCCTGGTTCTCCAGCGACAGGACGCTCCGGCAGTCCGCTGCTTCTACACGACCGCCGCTGACAGCTCATCACCGGTTTGTTTTGTTTCTGTTCAGCGTCTGACAGGAATCCATGTCTCACCGAGGCACTGAGGAGAAGTTACGCACAAAACTTTGAACRTCCTGGAAACTGCCAAGGACTCTTAGGATTTACATCAGAGACATTTAATTCTCTGTGTGGAAGACTTTACTACACTTTGTCTCCGTTTGACAGGAAATAAAAAGGATTCTGATTGAAGACTTCTGGAAGGAGCTGCTGGTTTTTAAAGACRGAACTCTGCAACACTCTGGTCCTGTAAGGCCTAAAAGTTATTGTTCTGTTTTTATAAGACTGTAAGAAAGAGTTAAAGCTTCTCTTTACACTCATCAGATAGTCTTTAATCCTGGTCCTTGAAGGCCACTATTATGCAACTTTTAGTTGTTTCTCTGCTTCAGCACACTTGAATAAATAAATGTGTTCAAAAGGATTCTGCTGAAGAACAACTAAACCCTGCAGAATCAAGACCTATGGAGGAGAAACTGACATAAATAGAAATAAATGCAGAAATATATAAGTGAAC